CTTCTTCCTAAAAGAATCTTAGAATCAAGGGTGGGTATCTATAGACCAATTCTCTACAGAGGATGGTAGAGCAAAACAAAGCAAATTTTTCTCCTTTGATAAATGTAAGGCAAGGCATTCCTTCTTCACCAAGCCCTCTTTCAACTGAATGCTACACCACTGCATGCTGGGGATCACCCTTCCATGTTTCTAGAATCTTCATCATTTTCTCCATTCCCTGGTGCCCTTCGGTCTTCATTTGCATTACTCCCAGCCCAGCCCTAAGTACTTCTGTCTTTGGTCTAACCCAGTTTATTATTCCCAGAGTTCAGAAAGATGTTTCTAAACATCTCTTAGAAAGATGTTTCTAAAACGTAAAGCTGTTTTCTGGTCTATCTCTAATGTCTTCAATGCCACTGTTTCATTCTGTGATAAAAGCCAGGTAAATTAGCCTAGCTAACGTGCTTCGTGTTCAGGTCCAGTTCTTTAGCTGGCTCCACACTTGGCACACAGTAGGTGGCCTCGTTCCTCCACATGTCCCTTTGCTTAAGCCACGCTGAGCTGTTGCCTTTCTGCTCTGCTGTTTCTCTTCTAGAATTCCCTTCACTCTTCCCTGCGCCCTCCAACTGGCATCACCAGCCTTCACTAGATAATTCTAATGCATCCTTCAACACCCCAGCTCAAGCGTTATCTCTTCTCCCACTGATCTGGATGCCCTTTGCAGTGCTCCAGGAGGAGCCAAGGTATTTCTCTCCTACCCTGTAGGGGCCCCTCAAAATGTGAATGACAGATGGCGGCGGCAGCATATGGAAGCTTGCTGATGGGCAGTTTCTCAGGCCTCAACTCAGACCTACCCAATCAGAATTTCTGGGGATAGAGCCTCGCAATTCATGATTCTTCTGCATGCTGAGGGTGAAGCAGCACAGCCCTGGACCTTTTGAGAGCACATACCACATCTTACTGGGTCTCTGACTCCCCAGGATCTCTCTTACTGACTGGGATAAAGCAAAGGATCAATAAATGGTCAATGGGTGAATGAACATTGGGTTAATCTTTTGATTCATTAAACCTTAACGTCTTTTATCTAGGAAACATGGAGTATTCCATAAATGCCTCCAAATATTCTTAAGAATTGGAATTTGTCTTTAGTTTTGAACTGGCTAGGGCATTTTGGCACTATTCTTAGGGGCAATGAAATAATTTAAAGTTTAGGGCTGATCAAGAAAAGCACAAAAATGCACAGTGTCTCTCAAAAGTACGTTTTTATGTATTCTACTGTACAGCAGGTGGTACCCTCTGCTTCAAGCTCTGAAAGATTTGCAGCTTTCCTTAAATTGTCTTTCTTTTGACTATTTTTTGAATATAGTTTAGGAAGGAAAATGCAAATTGTACAGCCACGGTAAAGACTGCTCCATATCAAAATATCTCAGGTTCTCTGGTTTCTCACAACAGTCTTTATGCTATCTGCTGCTTGGAAAGCTTTCTTGCACCACTTTATGCTAAAATTAAGAAAGCTACTAGCAGGACTTGTTTTTCAACTTTTTTCAGGTACAATTTCACTCCTCTAAAACAAGCTGATCTAAGACATAGTCTGTTAAATATAAACTGCTCACCAATGTCATAAACAACAAAAAAAGTGCCTGAATTTTGAAATAATTTCTGGCACTGTTGTTCCACAAAGGGAAAAAGGATACCATTCTTGAGGTCTGACACAAAGCCTCTCCTGCCTTCGTAGCAGTTAAGACTGGTTACTACCAAAACCAGCTTAAAGAGAAATCAGTTGGGGCAAACTAACACCAAAAGTGCTGATAGTTGAATAGATCACTTGAATCACATCCAGTACACAAAAGGTTAGACAAAGTAAAAAGCAGGTGTTTTGTTTAACTATTTATCTTGAGGTTAAGGACTTTATAGATGGCAGAATATAAAATTGCATCTGCTAGTAAAACTGCTGTCCGATGGTCATCAACATGAACGGGCAAACAGAAAACAAGGGTTGTAAGATTAGAGTTGGCGTTGATGGGAATTACATCTCCCCTGCCATGCTCCCTCTAAAAAGGCTTAAGAGAGGGAGCAGAGAGGGGAGATGCCCAACTTAGAGATGCAACCAAAGGTTCTTCAGCAACTGATCTATGCTGCTAGTGGCTTATGCTGCCTGGTGTGGGACCAGGTCAACCATGTCTTCCAACTCTTCCTCACCAATACTTCCATCTCACCCACAGGGCAGTATCTTGATTGAGGTCTTTTCACCAGTGCTTAAGGTGGTTATATTATGAAATAACTGAGGGAATTCTATTTTTGAAAATTTCCCCAGTTTTTTGTTTTGCTAGATGATATATTTTAAAAGGTGGAGAATGACATGAAGTGTTGAGCAAAGGGAGTAGTTGGTCAATAAATGTAAATGGCTCAGAAAAAGATGTTGAAATGTATTAATTCGAAATCGAAAGTGTAGTCAACTTCCATCGACACATCTCAAAGGTGCCCAGAGTCCTACTCTAATGAATACTTAGGGTAACCACAGGTTTCCAGGGCCACTTGCTTGTTTCGGCCTCTATGTTTCATACGATTTAGTTCCTCAAGAGTACTTTCCTCCTTTCTATTTTTTCCCAAGTTTAAGTTCATGGCTTTTGTAGGCAAGGCATCGAGTCCACAGGGAGAAGGGTATAATTTCCGTAACAGGTTGATCCTGGGTGCCAACAAAGGAGGATCATTTCCAATTGTTTTGGGATATTGAAAACAACCACATGTGGATTAAGTTTAAATAGCAACTGAGAAAACAGCTGACTTTCCTGGATTAAAGACCTTTGCAATTTAGGTTGTATCTGTAATTAAGCTGATTAGAATGAGTATTTCCAGTTTATTCTCTGGAATAATTCCAAAAATCCTCTGAGCAGGTATGCTACAGAGGCTGAATAGATGAAGTGATTAAACAAATATATGCCCTTGTATATATAATTATGTATGAATGTGTGTGCGTGTGTGTATATGTATTACTTGATATGGACAAATATAATGGAAAAGTAGCTAAGCACATAAAAATTATATTCAAAATTCTCATATGACATTTATTTTTTTCATTCAGAGACTTAAGCTAGTATAAGAAGCAGGAACAAGCAGCACTGGTTACATCTAAAGCTAGATGTGATTCAGTATCCACACCCCCTTAGTACAGCCATATCCACAGATATGTGAGTGACTATAGCATCAGAATGCCAGCAAAGCATGAGTTCCATATAGGGAATATAAATGCACCCATTCACTTCCTCTCATTAACTTCACAGTCAGGCTTTGAACAATGCGATTGATTAACATATTCATTGTTCTCCTATGCTTTTGCCTCAAATTTTTACATCTTTAGGGATCAAAGATTATCTGAATACTTAGCAAACAAATGCTCCTGCAAAACCATCTCTGTAAAATGCAGTGGCACCAAAAGGGCCAGAATGGATTTTTTATTGTTTCAAGGGACCTACAAAAATGCTAAGGAAAACAAATCTATGAACCAATTTTATTTTTATTTGCATTTAACATGATTATACACATTCATGTGTCTAACAAGATCTGCACTGTTACATTAAAAATACAGTACAATAACATTCAACATGAGGTACTTCATATTTATATATTTTTCCTTCATAAATAATGCTGTAAGCTACTAAATTCAAGCACTCTGATGCACAAGTGCTAGTGTCTTGAATCAGCCGAGCTTATTTAAACACCTTAAAAAACAAAAAGACAGTTCAGTGCAATAATTATGTAGAAATTAGACCATTTACTTAAATACTATATTAAGATATGCTTAAAGAATGTTACATTAGAACGGCTAGCCTAGTTCCCCTTTATCCCCAGTATGAACAACAACAAAGACTGCCAGGTATATTGGGAAAAGCATCTACAGAGTATTCTGTTTAATAAAGTTGTGTTTATACACTAGAGTTGCCTGCCTTGTCAGAACAATGGTTTCTAGTTTTAAAAGCTACAAAATTCGAGATTACCAAAGAAAATAAAGGAAGCATGTTAGCTTTCACTCCATGTTGTTGAAAATGCAAAAAGGGAGAACAGGATTTAAAATACAAAATTTCTTATTCTAAATACAATTTTCAAATTTAACCCACAGCTCTCGACACCAGCCAACCGGGTGGTGGACATGTCTTCTCTTTTTTAGCTAATGGTGATTAACATAAAACCAAGCTCTCATACCCCCAGTGTACAGGATCTCTCTCGGCTTTCCCCCAGCAGTTCCCTACTCATGTGGAGGGCATCTTGCTAACAGGAGCACTGACAGTGAGCGTTACTGAATGAACAATCTTCACTCTAAGGTTATCACACCCACCTCAACAATCTGAGATGATGACATTAGTGCTAAATCAAGTTTCTTCTCCTCTGGCTTAAAAATGAGTGCCTTCGAATCAGGTATACAGCCTACCAATTTGCATGGTAGCTATGAGTTACTGAAATGTTTCATCATAATTTAAAAGCAAAATCCTTTATAGCAGTGTTTTTTAAATTGAAAACATACCTTTATTTCATAGATACTTTGCCAAAACTACTGTCATCTTCCTAATAAGAAATAATTGTTAGATAATTTTGGAAAGTTGTCCTGGGAGTACTCATCAACAATCACCAGTAACAGCTTTTGATCATCTATGCTAACAGGCATAGGTAATGGCAAACATGATTAAAACATTTCCCATAATCCAGTGTTCTCCTCCACCAGGGAAGCCAGCCAAAAGCAACAAACCCACATCTACGGGGGGGAAAAGGTGGCCCAGAAGCACAGTGAATAAGATAAGGGTAGTCACTTCCTGGGGCCTTGCTAAGGCCAGCAGGGGGACCATTTCTGTCCCACCTCTTACTGGCCAGGCAGGGAGGAGACAATTCCTGAGTCGGCAAACACACTTGCATGCACATGGACGTGCACGGACGCCCACGATGTGCACACACCCGCCCACCCCAGGACTAACCCCTGGCTCCAGACAAGCCAGCTTGGGACTCGCAGAGCAGGAGGAGGAGGCGGCCAGGGACCACACTCTGGGTGGTGGGGGAAGCCATCTCAGGATCACGCTGAGCAGAAAAGCTGCCCAGAAACACATGGATGCTTCAGCTGGAAGTGAACACATTGGACACTACCAGGGTCACAGGCACAAAACCATCACAAGCCATCACTGAAGGAGAATTTTGGGATGAGCTTTTCCCTCCTTTGTTTGCATTAACCATGTACAAATAAGAGGGCTGGATGTGATGCTGATGCAGTGAATATTAGGTACAATCAAGTATATCGCTCCAGACCTTTTTTTTTTAAAACCCTGCAGGCGTTTATTGGCACTTCAAGGATGGCCTAAGGCCAAATTCTAGCAGTCTAGGAACAGGACATAATTGTAATTAACGAAGAAGATAGTATGTGGTCAAAGTAGATCAGATGAAGTGTATTTTTGATTAAAAAAAAGAAAAATCAATGAATAAAAGTATCTTATTACATTAACATGTAGTGCTACAAAGCTAATTGTTACTCCATACATCTGAAGAACTGTTTGGTCCTCTTTTCATGGGAAAAAGGGAGTAAGAATTCTATACAGTATAACTTACAAAAACAAGCAAACAGTGGGGATCAGAAGCAAAGTGGGGAGAAGACTGGCTTTTTCAAACGGTGTATTCTATTATGCCATGAAATAAACTATTTGTAGAATGGGACTTTTTAAGGTCTCCTTTATAAGCTGTTTTAGTTTAAATTAATAGGCCTGTGATTTTTCCCTATTGACAATAAAAATGTGTAATTTAGTTAGTTCTAAAAGAAGCATCTGTATTGCAATAGTTTGTCTTCTAAACTAAAAGAATAAAAACCTGCTTGTAGTAGGTCATGGCCTAAGCAAACATCCCATTTCCTGTTTTCCTATTTTACAAGGATACTTTGCAGTGTTTAACATTTAACAATCTTATGAATTTAGGATTTAAGAAAAAATAATGCCCAGAGTAAAATATTTAAAATGAAATAAGAGCTAAACATAACTACTGCCTACTTTCTAAATTATTACTTATGAAGCAAAACTTCTTTCAAAATTGTACACTGAGGTTTACCTGTAATTTGGGGTGGGGGTTCTCTTTAAAAATAACTCTTATCATTATTTTAGAGTATTTATTTCTATGTCAAAATAAAGCCCTAAAGGAAATTCAGGGTGATCCTGAAAATTTTAAAAGGGACAAAACTGGGAGGTCAGTGGCGCAGTTGGAAAAGAGCACAAATTCTTCCCAGGTGTATAGACGCAACTCTAAAAACCACAAAGCCTTAATAAGAACTTGGCTCTTTTAAGCATATAGTTAAAAGCTGAATGCTGCATTTTTGCCTGTACATAATTAAAAGGCTGAAAGAAATCAGAAACTGCCTATAGCTTCGTTCATTACGAATTACCTGCGCTGATCACGTATCTGCAGATGAGCTAAGCATCAAGCGAGTGGGAACCAGATGTGCACCTCAGAGCTCACACTGCTTCGGGAGGGGTTTTCAAGCATAGAATATGAGTTCCGGGATCTGCCCACCCTGCACCCCAGTGCCATTGGTGCTATCCGAGGAGCACTGGAACTGGACAGTCACCTTGCCACACTGAACTTCCGTCATGCCTTCCTGTCCAAAGTAGCTGAGTTCATTGCCATCCAGTACCACGCTGGCTGTGTAGAAGGTGTCTGGCTCAATCTGCACTGGGTACTCAAACCACACGGGGAAGGTATTGCTGGAGCCATCTGAGAAGTACTTGCTCAAGTTCTGCCCTAGAACAACGCCCTGCCGCTTAAGTTCAATCTTGGCGCTGTACTCCGCAGAGCCACAGCTGGAGCCATACAGCCCAAAGCCAGCGATGAACACTCTCTTATCAACTGCAAACTGGATGCTGTCACAGCGGCCCCGGTAGCGCCACTGGTTGCTCCGGTAGGCACATGACTGGAAGCGGTGACAGCGCTGGGGGACGAGGCCTTTGCGGGCTTTACTCACAAACTGCAACTCGGGTTTCTTGGCTGCAGTGTACCAGAGGAAAATGTCATTGGTCTCATTGAGAGTTAAAACTCCAGACTGGGCAGCACCGTTTGCAAAATCGTCTAGGGCCATCGTGGGGATGCGGATCAAGTAAAGTGCCTTTCCGAGGACCTTGCGTTTATTTTCAATGCTCAAAGCTAGATCCTGCCGCTGGCATTCCACTTCAGCCCAGTTGAGAGCTGCCTCAAAAACCACAATTTCTTTGGCATTCAGAGTTTCCCTGCGGAGGATACTTTCTAGAGTCTGGAAGTCGATATCGCAGAATCCCTCAGACTTGAGAGCTAACTCAGCCTGGGCATCGATCACCTCCCAGCAACGCTGGGTCAGGTCTGGCTCCTCAAACAGGCAGCTCTGGGAAAGAAGCACACAGGCATTCTTGGCGCTCAGGCTGGTCTCCAGGAAATTAACGCAGGCGCGGGCGAGGTGAGGGACGATGTACTTTTTGGCAGCATAAAGAGTGGCCAGCACTGTGTCAGCAGCCAAGTCAATTTCATCACAATAGATATATCTGAAAGACAGCACACAGCATATAAATGGAATTTTCACAAAACGAGCGTGTCCAGCAAGAAAAGATGCAACTACTTTCAAGTTAGTTCCAAGAAAATCATCTTATGTGACAGTTATTACAAAAATGATTAGGGAGTAAAGAAACATCTGAAATATGTTCATAAACTATTAATATTTCAACTCAGCAGTAAGTCTGTATAATTAAAGACATTAACTTTGTGTTACCATTCTAGCCTCTATTTTATAACCTGCATTCAATGTCTTCTCAAAAAAACAGAAGATACTAGAACTGTTTGAAAAAAAAACTGTGTATCAGAGTTAGTATTAACAAAAAAAAAGGGGAAAAATTTGTTAAATACACCATATTTTATTTAATCAAATAATCATCTCTGAGCGCCTGCGTGGCTCAGTCAGTTAAGCATCTGCCTTCGGCTCAGGTCATGATCCAGGGGTTCTGGGATCGAGTCCAGAGGGCCCCGTGTCCTGTCTGGCTCCCTGCTCTGCGGGGAGCCTGTCCCTCTCCACACCCCCTTGTGTTCTCTCTCTCTCATTCAAATAAATAAAATAAACTCTTAAAAAAAAGAATAATCTCCTTATATTTCAGAAGTGCTCTCTCTCTCTCTATATATATACATAGTTTTATTTTAAAATTTTCTGTACATTCAGATAGAAACAAATGCCTTTAATACTATGTTGGCAATGATTACACCTTAATTCTTTTAACTAAGTATGACTTGAATTTTCGCTAAACACAAAATAAAACCTGAGATTAAGAAAGATATTTTTCAAGTAGTTCTAAGTTCAACAGATTATCATCTATGGATTTCAAAATTATCTTCCAGTTGCCTTTACATAGAATCCAACATAGGCTTTGTATCTGGCTTTTTTTTCTTTTTAAACTCTAAATTCTTTCTTCTCTCCTCCCCACATTTCTTCTACCTTCAGAATTAAAGAATGTATTATTTCTGGATATATTTAAATAAAAAAAAGCAAGAAAGCCCAAATATGCACTATTTTTATGATTCTATAAAGTATCCCTATGTCAGGAGATAAAACACTTCTTGGTAATTTGGGGGGATGGTGGCAGTCTCCCAATATGGTATGTAAAAGCAAAAATCATCTGCTTCTTTTAGATTGCCATGGATGAGTCCAAGAAAAAGTCAGTGAGAACTACATATAGGTGAAAAATACATTCTGATAACACTTAACTTTTAATTTTTTCCAGTTAAAGCTAAGGTGTTTAGCTACTTGCTGTGAAGTTTTCCTTTAGTTACTCTATTTTAACTCAATGAAACACATATAAGAAAAGATTAGTAATGGCTTCTGCAAAGAGAGTGAAAAACCCCAGTGATGATGATAAGAAAAATGTCTACAATCACAAATGAACCCTCATTTTTGCTCCCAGGAAGCTCTTTCTCTTCTGATAGGCTAAGCCATATACCACTGGCCAAGACTGACTCACATGATACCAGCAGCTCAGTGATGCTCTGACATGAGAACCAGGACGATGGCAAAGAATCTGGAACAAGGTCAGCACCTTGTGGCTCTTACCCTGGAACTGTCAAGTGAGCGCTCTTCCCTTTTTCTCGACAATTCCCTTTCTAGGAATACTGGCTACTCAGCCATACAACGCAGTTGTCTGGAAAAACTGGCCTCCACTACTGGTGGCGACAGTGCAGTCCTGATCAACTATGGCCCAACGGCAAACAGCACCCTACTACATTTCTGATTCTTACCACTTTTGGTGGACTGCATGTATAATTTTAAAAAGCTGTATTGAGATAGATTCTAGGTAATACATTTTTAAGAAAAGATGCAAATGGAATGACTTGGGTGAAATGTAATTCTGTAATTCTACTCGTGTTCCTTAATTATGTATCTCTCTGGCTGAAACAACACAACACTCTGCTGGACTGCAGTGCAGTCAAAATGCTGAACCAGTGTTCGCGTTCTCCTCTGCGAGAGACAATGTCAAACATACAAAGCTCACTTGACTGGAAAACAAAACAAAACAAAAACCTTCCCAGGTAAAACTGGTTTCTGTACATGTATCTCTAAAAGATTAGAAAGGTCACTAAATGTTGGTTATTTCGAAGTGGTGAATTAGTTTACCTTTTGGTACTTCACATGCTCACTTATCTTTAATTTCCCTATTTCCCACTGTGAAAGTTTCAGTCAGATGCAATTAGATTTCAAAACTACAACATAAATAAATACTTTTAAGTTCTACAATTAACTGCAGTACTTAATTTTCAGTAGGAGCAGTCAATAAATATCTCGCAATCTTTTAACCATTTGTGGGATTATCGTCCAACCTGTTGACACAATAATTTTTTTAACAAACATATTTATTCTAGGGAACCAAAATCCCTACAGCAGTAGATAACCTTGGACTCTGGATATACCCGGTGTGCTAGAAGAAGGATTGAACAAAAATCGTAAAACATTATTTGAAATAATCACTGCATGTTAATCACAGGGTAGACTATCACACTGTCCGACAGCAGTGCACATCAGAGAAGCGGATTCTATTTAGCTGGTCAACATGTACTGGATTCTGAAAAAGACCTATGAGATAGAAAACTATTTTTTAAATAAGTATATGTCTTACAGCTTTGCATTTTTATACTACCAATTAAAGTTTTCCTATAAAAATACATAGAAAACTATAGAAAACTATTCATCTCAAAAATGTCTCCTCTACTATCAAAAAGCAAATGCTTCTTTATCTTTGAGAAATGGTATCTGATTTTATGTAAGAGTATGCACATGTACGTATGGGCAAATATCAGATTGTTTTAATACAGCAAGTTTTACATTTGCTGACAGGAAACAGTAACGTCTAGAAAACCGAGAAATCTCTTAACTAGTGGTACTTAAACAAGGTATATTATTTCTGGAATTGTGAAACAAAAATATAATTTGTGTCTTTAGAGACTCCTTCATACACAACGCTGTCAGAGAGAACATGCACTATTAAATAATCCTGCATGAGAAAGTTGTTTTTCTTTGATTGTGAGTCGTTAAAAATCAAATCACTATCCATGCCACTTGCTCCCAAATACCATGCCAAGGTGTATGATAAACGCCTGCACCATTCCACATACTTTCCCCCCGGAAAGATGCACAGTAGTTTTCTCCAAAAACCATTTACAAGGTAAGCAGCACCCTCTTTCTTCATCAGTCTCCCTTTCTTGTATTTAACTGAGAAACCAGCAAAGCACAAACACAGCATAAACTCTTTCTAAACAAACAAACGATGCTTACTTCAGCATAGCGAGAAAAGCAGCAGGTTCGACATCTGGTATACGGATTTCATCTTTGTCCTCAGCAAGTTCTCCGTAAAACATTGCATGGAACACAGAGCTCCCAACAGCTAAAACATACTGTGGAGAAAGGGAAATCTTATTTCATACACTAAACTGAAAGCATTTTCGGTAAATCAGTCCAGAAAAACAACTCTAAGCAATCAGGGTTTAGTGGACGTGGAGCACCTACACCTGCGCTTTCTTCAAAGCCAAGGGACAGTGTTTATCTTGCCGTGAAAAGAGAAGATAGATATTCACGCATGTCAGTCTTTATGCTGCTAACTACCTCAAGGCTTTAAGAGATTAATGTCTAAGTTCCCTCATTACAAAATAAATAAATAAAATAAAAGCTTATCTAACCAATTTCTAGGGGAAGGGTAAACATGACTTTTCTAACCTGTCGCAACAACTTCCCATGACTGGAGAGTTAGGAGGGCATGTTTTTGTGTGGGACGTAAAGCAGGATAGAAAGAAACAAAGGAAAAAAAAAATAAGTGTGGCCAAGACTCTTTGGAGAGGTTGTGCCTTCTCTGTGATGGGTGAAACGCGCACTGCCTGCCATCGGCAAGCTGCCCACCCCAACCAACTTTCAGGCTTATGGAGAGGGTCCCTCTTTGTAAATCTCAGCACTAAACCAGTAATGCAGCTGTTGCTTACTTTGTGTCCTGGCAACCGCTGAGTCCCACCTGGTGGCCCAACCACAAAATGTACATCTGCCATCAAATCATTATTGAACATCACTGCATTTCTATAAACAGAGGCAATTCATTAATGCACAGCAGCCAGCAGTTTTAACACCCCCTCCCCAACATACAAAACCCACAAAAGATTCACAAGCTAAGCAAGTTTAGTAACTTCAGGGTAAAACTACAAATCAAGATTCCAACTAAACAACTATTTGTGATCATTGCAAACACATGGGAAGTAACTAAAGTTAAAAAAAAAAACCAATGAAAAAGTTATTGAAACTTTTCACTAGATTAAGGACAAATAGAAGGTTTCTATCTCCAAACCTTCCATGGTCAGTAGACACAAGCCTGTCACTTAAATGTCACAGCTTGCAAAAACATTTTTATCTAAGAGGAAAACAGCTGTACTATTTTGGAAAAGATACAAGGCAGTTTTCCATTACCGATAAAGCTTCTGGGAAAAGAGGAAACACAGACTTATGTTAAAATACATTACAGGTTGTGCAAAAGCAGAAACTTCAACACAGGAAAACTTTTAAAGCAAATATGCTGGCTGGGCACTTACCTTTCTCGAATGGTGGGGTAGAGACCCTGCCAGTTTGGGGCCGGAATAAGGTTGTTGTTACTGAGATTCTGCTGGTGGTACTGCTGGACAGTGGTGCTGCTGGAGTTGGCTGGTTTTTTACGCGGGAATATATCAGCAGCCATCTTCTTCTTCTTTTTAGTCTTCAAGGTGATTATTTCATAACAAACTGGGGGCAACTTGCTGCCGCTGCTGCTGCTGCTGGTATTTGTCTTCTTCGAGCTTTTCTTGGACCTATTTTTTACTGTCTCTGGAAGCATCAAGAAGAAGGTGAGACATTTCATGTTCTTTTCCTTGTCATCTACCATGAGTACAGTATGTCTCTCTTTATAGCTAGATAGCCCAAATTGGTGCAAACATCAAGGAAAAGAGGCTGGCACGAGCCAAGATGTTAACAGAAACCAACAAGCTGCTATTTTGCTTCTTTTCTCAGCTGGACAAGGTGACCTTTTCACTATGTTGAATAGAAACTGGCTTTAAGTTTTATCCAGTACTGGGTCTGCTAAATACATCTCCATCATGATTCCTATTTCTCTTATTTGCTCATAAAGATAACCCAGTTTCCTAGATCACCTGAAAATGCTACACTGAGCGAAGATGACAGGCAGCGAGCTGTCGCACTTGTTTTCTGAATTAGGTTAGCAAGATGTGCTGGAGCCGAGCGAGTCTGTTCAGCCGGCTGAAGTTGTGTGGTGAATGGATGGGAGGAGAGTAGGTATTACAGCCCTGCAGATGGAGTCAGACAGCCAGTGCTCAGAGCCAATAGCTGAAGTCACCAATCATGATTGGACCAAGCAAAACAGTGACACCTATTGTAACATGCAGAGCTCTGATATTAAAGGAACAGCAGTGGCATTCTGTTGTCTCCAGTATTACTGCATATTAAAATAAGATAAACAACCTATGAAATAGATCTGCAAACAGGAAAGGAACAGTTTGTGCTCACAAATTTCTCTTCAGTAGATGTACATTTTTATTTCCCCAGTTAAACAAGCAGGACCAATTAACAAAGGGTAGAGACCGATATCTACTCTGTATTTCTAGTAAAATCTTTATCCCGGCAGCATTTAGTTTCAAATACTTCAAACAAAATCCTCCTTTCTTCCCGCTAAAAGGGATTATTAATAGCTAAACCATACTAAACAACACACTTATTACAGCTTAATGGAAAGGAATGCTGTTTTTCTTTTTCCAGCTCTTTGAATGCACATTATAGTCTAGTGCAAAAGAAGAGAGATGAGGTCATGTATTCATTTTACCTCCCAACATTATCTAGTTCCTATGATGATCTTTGACAGGAGTCCCAGATCAGAAAATACTTTTCAATTAGACTAAGATTATACCAGTAGGTTTACCTGCACTGAAGCAAATTTTAGATATAAAAAATAAGATTCAAATTAGACAAATCTGTATTTAAAGGTTATAATTCCCTGAAAATATGTCAGATGGGCCCTGCTCAGGATCTCAAAATCCAACCTAAATGTTATGGCTACATTTAACTTGTCATAATTTTATTTTATTTTTTTTTTTAAAGATTTTATTTATTTGAGAGAGAAAGAATGAGAGAGCACGAGAGGGAAGAGGGTCAGAGGGAGAAGCAGACTCCCTGCTGAGCAGGGAGCCCGATGTGGGACTCGATCCCGGGACTCCGGGATCATGACCTGAGCCGAAGGCAGTCACTTAACCAACTGAGCCACCCAGGCGCCCCTAACTTGTCATAATTTTAAAGAATATAATCCACAACTTCTAACACAAAACCAGTAATAAGGCTATTCATAATGATAAATGGTCTGATGCTGCTTAGTTAAAATGCAAACAGGTTCTCTCTGCTTTGAATCAGACTATCCACTACTACGTATGTGGTTTTCATGGATCTCCCAACAATTTCTAGCTTTGTTGAGCAAGAAAAAACAAAACACCTGCTACAGGCTCCACACATGCTTATTTATTTCTAAAGAGGGACTAATGAGGAGATTTAATCTCACCCCTATCTATCTATCTGGATTCCTCTCATTGGTTCCAAGTGCAGCACCCATTTGCTCCCCCCGCCCGCCCCCGTCCCCCAGACCTAATGCAGCCTTCATGGCCACAGCCCTGCTTGTGACACAGCATTCATCTGAATAATGAGCACCCGACAGAGCGAGGACTCAACAAATGCACTATGCTGGTTATTATAACTAACAATCTACTGAGGAGAACATAATGAAATCAAACTTTGAATCCCTGGGACCCTAAATCATGAGACAGCCAAGGAATATCCTCTTTATTGTCATCATTACTCTTAAAACTGCAAAGCCAGTACAAGACAGGCTATATATATAGAAGAGAGCCAACGGTCTTTACCACAAGGCTATTCATCCCTGTTTTAGATGGACCCTGAAGTGCTGCTTATTGGTTACAAATATTGTGTGTTCCCAATCACAGGGCTACCACACACACACACCCCCTTTCAAATCACACAATGATAGAGAGAGAGAGACAGAATAGTTTTTAAGAGTATGTGGTGAAAAGTATGAAAGAGGAACACATGTGTGCTACTCAACTTCCTGACACCAACCTCCTAGGAAAACCCCTATGACAGGGAGGTCCTTCTGACAAGGATTAGTCTCATACATTTCAGGTCAGACAGTGATCAATTAGACTGGAAACGGAAATGAGCTGCTTTGAGACAGACATACTAATAATTGTCAAATGGACATATAAAATACTAAAAGCACAAAAAGTAGATGCAAGAACTTAGAAGGCTTTGTGGCTTTTATTCATTTCACATGCAGTTCAACACCTTTTACCAAGAAAGCCTCGAACAAACAGTGTTCCTATACCACTAATTAATAACAAGTGCACGCAATAGCTTAAGAAAAAAAAAGATATGTTTTAGAACATGTTTTTTCTGAAATTAAAGGTTTTAGGTATTTGGAAAATTAAGTTCTGTGGAAAAGCTTGAATATACCAGTTACATGAAGCACTGCTCATTCTGAATCCCCTAGAACAACGCTGCAAAGAGGGGCACTGTCACTCGGGAAATGTGGGGACTCAGGAGTCTGGCTGTTTTAAAGATATGTTCTAAAATACAAAAAGTAATCCAATTAAAAAAATTTAAATGGCATTTGAATTTTAATTTTTGTAGCCAATTTGAAAAGCATGAAAATGTTAATAAAACCAAGACATGGAAAACTTCCTGAGAGCTTCGTTTTCCTACCATGGTTTTAAAAGACAGGTAACATAAAGCCCTTGTGACTGAGAGTGTGGCCCTTGGCCCAGCAGCAGCGGCACCACCCAGGAACCTGCTAGAAGTCCAGAAACTCACCCAGAGTCCGGATCAGAAGTGCATCTTAACAAGACCCTCTAGGCAATCTGTATGACATTCAAGTTTGGGAAAGTCTCACGTAAGATTAAAATAAAGAAGGTTACCCGGTCTCCCAGTGATCCAGTATCAACATCTGGAGCCACGTTTCGCATTCAGTTATCAAGTGAATGAAGAAATAATTCAAAATAATTAATTTGGTTTGGTCATAAAACTTAACCTTGATGTCTTACTCTGAAATTCTTCCGATTAGGCCCTAAATGTCAAAATTCTAGGATTCAGGTGTGTGGACAGCCAACCAAGAGGCCTCAAAATATTTTTTGAAAAAGAAGCTCAAGCTCAAATTATTATTTTTTTAAAAGATATTTTTATTTATTCATTCGAGACCCAGAGATACAGAGAGAGAGAGAATACGAGCAGGGCGGGAGAAGCAGAGGGAGAGAGGGCATCAGGCTTCCTGCACAGCAGGGAGCCCGACACGGGGCTCGATCCCAGGACCCTGGGATCATGACCTGAGCAGAAGGCAGACGCTTAACAACTGAGCCACCCAGGCACGCCAAGTTCAGGTTACTTCATAGGAAAACAACAGAGATCATTTTAGTGGGAAAAGTAAAGGATTAAAGAATGCCAAGTGTGAAACAGATGAACCACTTAATATATTTTTTGAAATAATCTACTTCACAATTCTATTTCAAAAAAATTAGTATTGCGGCACAGCAAAACTAGCAATCAAGTAATGTGGTTCAGTCCTGGCTCAGCCACAAAAAATTGATTGTGTGTGTGTGTGTGTGTGTGTTGAAGGGGAGGGGAGTCTGACAAATCATTTAGCTTTTAAGGGCATCAAGTTCCTCAGCTACAATATGAAGAGGTTCTCTAGAATAGATGAATGTCTCTCACTCTTTACCTTGAATCCTCAGTAAGAAATGTATTTTATATTCAGACTCAGTACTAGCACGCACACACACACCCACCCACCCACAAATGGAAATGTTCACAAAACAAAAACTCTTAGCATGTTATGATAGTACAGATATTTTCTATCTTACTCTTTTCTTTTTAATGTTGGTCTTGATTCATTCCACTGATTTCATAAGCACAGTTTAAGTAATACTGGTCTAGATGATTTCTAATAGCTTTCAAGGTTTAACATTCCAGGGTAGTTTTCTATCAAGAACTTGGACTAAGGGGAAGAAGGCAATGGCTGCATCAACAAATGGTTTACACAACTGGAAGTGTGCATTTATATTCCTGGGAAAAGGAGCCACAGTTATTATCTGTCTTTCAGGGTAATCCATGACCCAGAGCACAATAAATATTATGAAAATTTGAGATTGATTTGAATATACAAGATATTTCTATCACTTTCCCCCTCTGCTTTCATATCTATAGTCTATTTCATTAACACACAAACTATGGCTTCTTTCCCCCACTGAAATTAAACATAAAGAGTTAAAACTCCCATCTATTGAATCTGCAACCCAAAAACATTCCCCACTAGGCTGAAGGGTAGATAAATAAAGGATTCCAGCCCGAAATGTATTTTCATATTTCACTCTAAAATTTCTTTTCCACTGGCATTGTATCATTTGTTCTTATACCTCCTGAATTTTAAAGCTGTTATGAGACATGTTAATCTGCCCTAATAAAGTAAATTGATCAAGAAGCCCATTTATCTTTTATGAAGTACATATGTATCCCTCACTTTCTGAAAGTTCATGTTATGCACTTTGCTTTTATGAAAGACCTACATTAATACTGTTTTCACCAGCTAAAGGAAATCCAAAGAATTTTTGCTTTTATGAAAAAAGCAAAAATAGCATTCAGCATGTTTTGCAGTGAGCCATTAGAGGCAGCACACATCCCGAGAAAAGTGGCACCACCAAGCTCCTTCCCCAGGAACTACACTCAGCATCAGGATGCCATAGCTTTGCCATAGCATCTATGCTTTATCTTGATTTATTTTGTGCATCCATTAGCAAGATATGTCCTAAAATATCAGAAAAGCCAAAAAGAGGTTATTTTTTGGGTCTGGGAACACTCAAAACTTTTTCCAAATAAAGTAATGGTAATTGCTTTATGCCATTTTGACTTCAAAAAGATTTCACAGGTACACTGTACTTTTGGATAGCAGGGGAAACCTGTACTTAAAATTCAACACGCTGATCTTGCAGCGTGTTAGGTGATTGGCATACAATAGTGAGCAAGATTAGGAACCAACCTTAAGAGGTTAGCTAGTCACAGTGGGTTTCAGATGATTTTTACAATTGTCAGAAATTTCAACCATCTTTATCTCTATTCATTAAATTTCCAATAATAACAAAATTATCAGCAGAATTTAAGCTCACTTCGATCATCTTCTTCACCACTGGAAGGTCTGCCAA